CTAAAAACCCTAAACCCCTAAATCCCTCAACCTCCGGAACCCTAAACCCCTCCACCCCCCAGCGGCGGTCGCGGGGATCGACTGCGGCTCGGGGCACGAGGTCAAGGAGCAGTTGGGCTCCGTCTCCCAGGTCCTAAGAAGCGTTTAGGGTTTAGGGTTTAGGGTTCAGGGATTTGGGGGTTTAGGGTTTTTAGGGTTTAGGATTTAGGGGTTAGGGGTTTAGGGTTTAGGGGTTTAGGGTTCCTAGGTCCTCAGAAGCCCCCCGCTCCGAAACCCTCACACTCAGAATCCGTTCGGGCTTTTCGGGCCCACTTTAGGGTTTGGGGTTTTAAGTTTAGGGTTAGGGTTTAGGGTTTAGGGTTTAGGCTCGGGGTTTGGGGATTAGGGTTTAGGGTTTAGGCAGAATCCTTTGGAACTTTAGGGTGTGGGGTTGAGGATCCAGGGCATAACTGTGCCTCCGAAACCCTCATACCATAATCATAGTCCTTGGGGATTGGGGCTTGATTGGGGCTTTAAGGGTTTAGGGTTTAGGGTTTAGGGTTTAGGGTTTAGGGTGTAGGGTTTAGGGTTTAGGGTGTAGGGTTTAGGGTTTAGGGTTTAGGGTGTAAAAAGCTCGATCCAGGGCAAGAGACACCGGGGCGAAGGGATCGATGTTGTCCGCCGGGCACGCAGCCACCCCTGGCGTGCCCGTGTACGGAGCCTGCGGCTTGCTCTGAGGGGTTCTAGTTCAGCTTCGGGCTCTGACTCGGGTTCCCTAAACCCTAAACCCTAAACCCTAAACCGTGTCGAGACTTCGGGAAACCCTTCGAAAGTCCTTCTGCCCGCACCCTACACCCCAAACGAAACCACAGCCCACGCAATCTGGCAGCCGACTTTCTTAGGGATGCCTATGCTCCAAATTTGGCCTCGACATCGTTTCCAAGCCCGACGCCGGCTCCCAAACCGCTGCAGTCTGATACCAGCCGCTTCACGTGCAGAAAGGACGTCGTCTACAAGTTAAACAGGGCGTGGGGCGCATGCTAGCGCGAAGTATATGCAGACTTTGAGAAGATACTGATGCGAGTTCTTCAACCTTGTCGTTAAGGCTTCCAGATTTGAGGGGAGGCGGAGGGTAATTCAATCTTTTTTGTTGCTAAGCCCCAAACCCCCAACCCCAAATCCTGAAACCCAAAATCGTAAACTCAAAAAGCAAAGAAGCCCTGAACTGCTAGTGCCTTGCAGCGCACGAGGCAGGTGTCTCCAGGATTCACGCCCATGCATGCGGACGCATCCTCGGCGAAAGAGAGCCCCGGCAACGGTCCGAGGCGCTGCCCTTCAAACCTAAACCAAACCCACGGGACCTAATATAGGGGGCGTAATAATTAGAATAGGGTTTTGGGGTATGGTATACTATAATTATAAGAAGGAAACCCCAAAATCTTAGTCTAATTATTAAGGCCCCCACATTTACACCCTAGGCAAAACCCTAAAGCCCTCAAACCCCCCAAATCGAAGCCTCGAGCTGTACAGTTACAGAGCCCGTGGCCCTGGACTAAAGGCCCCAACACTAATGTAGGGGCCTAAGTAATTACCAATACTACTTTGGGGGGGGTTCTTATTATATAGTTGTTGTATAATGGGCCCCAACACCCTGTTTAAATTATTAAGGCCCCTATGTTACCACCCCCCAAACCGCCAAAACAGCCCTCAGACTCTCCAGATGGGCCACGTTGAAACCTCCCTGAGCAATCGGAAGACAACAATCTTGACTGGCCCAGACAATGACTGCAGTTGGATTTAAACGTCTGACACCCTACGGAGCTCGATGTTCGGCCGATAAGACGTTCGGCATGTATGCATGATCCCCTTTACAGGCCTTCATCAGAGTGAACTACCAGGGCACAGGTAGATTAGTAGGAATACCGCAAGCCTCCCTGAACTGAAACCGCCGAACTTACTCAGAGGGTCGCGGGCTGGCTTTGAGGATTTCGAAACGACAGCAACGGCAAATCCTAAACCTGAAGAGCCGAATCCCTTGACCTTACCCACACATCTCCACTCCGACTCTTAAACCCTAAACCCTAAACCAGCCTTGCAGCCGAGGCTCCATCACGCACTCATCTACAGCAAGCGGCCAGCAGGCTTCGTCCCGAGAGCAGCCACTCAGTATCGTGGTCACCGTGCAATACGCATCCATGTCACAGAAGGCCTGTTTGGCGGTTTAGGGTCCATGGGTTTGGGGTTCAGAAGCACCCTAAAGACGAGATCCCTAAGCCCTAGACCCCAAAGGCCCTAAACTCAAAACAAGTACCCATGAGGGCCTCTTCTGCTGCTCTTAAGCAGGATACAAGGACGCCCTTCAAGCACCAGGAGCTCTTCAGGGCTCATGGATGGCAAGACGACGGCAAGACTCAGAAGCAGCAGTACAGTATCACCTGCAGTGCTAGAATCAACCCTAAACCTTGCATCATCGGAGCCCCCGCCTTCGGTGCACCCACGTAGCCTTCGGCGCAGCGCCAGTTGTCCGCCGTGCGGACGTAGCCGGGCGGCACAATCTCGGGCTCCGGGCCTCGCTTGTAGCTTGACATCACGGCCACATGGAGTGGGTTTAGGGTTTAGGGTTTAGGGGTTTAGGGTTTAGGGTTTAAGCGGCTTAGGGTTTAGGGTTTAGGGTTTAGGGTTTAGGGTTTAGGGTTTAGGGTTTAGGGTTTAGGGTTTAGGGTTTAGGGGTTTAGGGTTTAGGGTTTAAGCGGTTTAGGGCTTAGGGTTTAAGCGGTTTAGGGCTTAGGGCTTAAGCGGTTTTAGGGTGTAGGGTTTGGGGTTCACCACCACGACTGCTCCTGGCCCTGCCCGGGCTGCTACTCCTGCTCCTGCTCCTTCTTTTGCTCCTGTTGCTCCTGCTCTTGCGATGCAAACCGCAGTCCTAGACCCATCTCTAAACGAAATACCAAAGCTTTAAAACATCTAAACCCTAAACCCTAAACCCAAAACGGTAAAACATCTAAGCCCTTAACCGAAGTCTTAACGAGCCCAGGCGCAGATGAACAAAGCGCAGGAAGGACGAGGTGGCGACCAGTCCAAGATCTGGTGGTTTCAGAAAGTGTAGGCTCAGTTCGGAGTAGATAGACAGAATATGGAAGCCTTCTGACTTCATTGCAGTATGCAAAGAGTATATAAATAGAATATGGAAGCCTTCTAACGGGGTTATAACTAGCGTAGCTCTACTTATAACCCATACTAAGGGACTTAAAACCCCACTTTATAACCACCCCTAAACCCTAGACCCTAGAGAACCCTTTAAAAGGAACCCATAAAGGAACCCCTTAAACCCTACACCCTACAGAACCCTTTAAAAGGAACCCATAAAGGAACCCCTTAAACCCTAAACCCTATAGAACCCTTTAAAAGGAACCCCTTAAACCCTAAGCCCTATAGAACCCTCTAAAAGGAACCCATAAAGGAACCCCTTATAACCCCACTTATAACCACTAAACCCTAAACCCTAAACCCTAAACCCTAAACCCAGAAACCCTCCAAGTGTTGCAGCATGCAGCCCAGGACTTCGAGAAGGAGCCCCGAGCCGCTACAGAGCCTACCAGACCATTCAAACATCTACTCCAACTTCTTATAGGTTTAGGGCTTTAGGGCTTTAGGGCTTTGGGGTTTAGGGTTTAGGGTAATCGAGGGGCCTTAATACTCGGAATGAGGGTTTCGGGGTATGTTATGCTATAATTTTTTAGTAAGGAACCCCCAACTAGTCCTGTTAGACCCCTATATGTTATGATAGTATCAATAGGAGTCTTCGGATTTCGAGCTTCAGGGTGAGCAGCTTAGGCTTCAGAGCCCCAAACCCAAAATTCGGCCCTTGAGCTATCAACTAGATTACGCTGAAATACAGTATATTATATAGTATGTTGCGGTATATTACAGTATAGTCGACTATAGTCGACTATAGGACCCTAAACCCTACACCCTAAACCCTAAACCCTAAACCCCTCAACCCTCAACCCCTCAACCCTCAACCCTAAACCCTAAACCCTAAACCCTATCGGAAACTATCGACTAGTTGGAGCCGTCTCAACCGCTGCAGACTCCGTAGCTTATCCATAGCCTCAACCCGAACCGAAGTATTGACACAGGATCTTGGCTCAGCCTTTATGGGGATCAACGCTCAGAGCTCCGGCTGGGCACCGGAAGCTGATTGCTTTTGACTTGAAAACTAGGGGTGTAGGGTTTAGGGTGTAGGGTTTCGGGTTTACGGTTTAGGGTTTCGGGTTTACGGTTTAGGGTTTAGGGTTTAGGGTTTCGGGTTTAGGGATCCCAAGACCCTTCTTTGGAGCACCTTCTTGGGTGACCTTCCTTCCGGTTCTCAACAGAAAGCACTCATCCCCGAGAGAGGGAAAGGCTGGAGAGTTTTGGAAAAGCCTAAAACTCTAAACCCCAAGCACAGGGGAGGCTTCGAATTTTACGGATCAGATCTCGAAACAGCCACCCCTTCTCCCGCCGAACTCCCCAACCACAGACAATAGATTTGAAACACCTCCCATGAAATACTCTGGCAAGGTTGGCCCAACATTTCCTTGAAAAAGGAATGAATCGTAGGTTACCAAGCGGCCCTTAGAGTGATTCTAGGCGTATGGCTTGATTCAACGGCATTGGCCTCCCTGGGCATGCAAACTCCCGGTGACAGGCAGGTTCGGACGCGCAACCCTAAACGCCGAGCTCCTGAACTCTCCGGGCCATAGACCCACAGCCCGCAAAGTACCCAAAAGCCGTAGCTTGATGCTGCCCCAACCCCATGCCAAGAAATCCTCAGGAAAAAACTGCCGCAGGTCAAACAGCAATGAGCGCCCGTCACCTTCATGGGGTCCACATTGTTCTCTTCACACCTGCCAAGAGGGCTCTCTGACGCTCCTAGTGGCTGTGGCTGTTTCCTCGGCACCAGCAGTGGTAGTTTAGCAATTATTGTTAATGCGATTGTTACTCATACTTTTCCTATCATGACTACCATTAGCATTATGATTCTATTGCTATTAGTCTTATTCTTTTTCTTCTTCTTATTATTATCATTCTTAGTATCATTATTACTATTGTCAAAAGTCTTGTTCTTTTTGCTAATTTTTCACATTGGACTTTTGCGAATTTAATGATTCTTGCTATTCTTCTTATTGCCATGATTAGTATGATCATGAGTATTGATATCATTATTATTCTCATCGTCAATAACTGTTGCTATTATTCTTCTGACCACTATCATTATGATCATACTTGGAGGTTCATGGGCTCATAAGTGGGGTTATAAGTCCCCTAATTTATAAGTATAGTTACCCTACTTATAACCCTTTTCCTAACTATCCACGAACCCCCAAGTAGGCCTCAACCCTAAACCCTAAACCCCTAAACCTTAAACCCTAAACGCTAAACCCCAAACCCTTAAACCCTCAACCCTGAACCCCTAAACCCTAAACCCTCAACCCTCTTTCCTTATTATAACTATCGTAGAAGACTATGAAGGCCCCCATATTAGTCCCAAATTCCCATGAACCTCTAAACCCTAAGCCCTAAACCCTAAACCCTACATAACCCTATGTATAACTACCCATGCACCCCCAAGTACAGCCGCTAGACCCCACCTGGCCAGTGAGGCGCCGCCCACAAAAGGCTCGCGGCAGCGGATGAGGCACTGCCCCCCCGGAGGGACCTTCTGAGGCGCCGACTCGGGCTTGAGGTTTAGGGGTTAGGGCTTAGGGTTCAGGCTTTAGAGCTTGGGGTTTAGGGCTTAGGGCTCAGGCTTTAGAGCTTAGGGTTAGGGTTTAGGGCTCAGGCTTCAGGGCTTAAAGTTTGGGGTATGGGGGTTTAGGGTCTGAGGCCATTCCCGGCCTTTTAAAGGCTACTATGGGGTTCCATAAGAAGGTCCTCCCTAAAGGGTGCTACAACAAGGTCCGGTTCGGATTAGGGACCCAGGGACTCCAATATCCCTTAATTAAGGAATATACCTTAAATTATAGTAGGGATCCCTAAACCCTAAACCCTAAACCCTAAACCCTAAACCCTAAACCCTACTATAATTTAAGGTATATTCCCTAATTAGGGGATATTGGAGTCTCTGGGGAGTTAGGGTTGGGAGCTTCGGAGGCTAAGCTTTGGGAGTCAGGCTTCCGGGCGCCTCTGTTCTGCTGGTGGCAACTTGCGGTTTAGGGTTTAGGGTTTAGGGTTTTGGGTTTAGGGTTTAGGGTTTAGGGTTTGGGGTTTAGGGTTTAGGGTTTGGGGTTTTGGGTTTAGGGTTTTGGGTTCAAGGTTTAGGGTTTAGGGTTTCTTTCCCCGTGATATCCAAAAGTGCTACAACCCTCAACATGCTCCAAACATAAGCCCTCGCATCGCAGAGCCGGACATGCCCAGAGAGACCCCGACCCCAAAGCCTGAACCCCAAACCCTAGGGTTGATGAAAATTCTGCACGACCCATATTTAGGAATTTACCATGGTTCCCATAGTGTTTAGAGTTAGGGTTTAGGGTTTAGGGTTTAAGGTTTAGGGTTTAGGGTTCCCATAGGTTAGGGTCCTCAAGGTAATACAGGGTTTTATATCATCAACTTTATCATGCTGAACAGCGACCCTGCAACTGTAATCGCCACGAGCCCCTCCGACTGAGACTTCGGCGTGAAGGCAGTCAGACATGTTGTACCTTCCCGTTTACCCTAAACCCTAAACCCTAAACCCTAAACCCTAAACCTTAAACCTTAAACCTCGAACCCTAAACCTCAAACCCTAAACCCTAAACCCTAAACCTTAAACCCTAAACCTTAAACCCTAAACCCTAAACCGCGGCTCAAGGCTTCACGCCTGGGGTTTGAGCTTTGAGCGTTTTGGGGGTTCAGGGCTCGGGTTAGAGGCTTGGGGTTTCGGCAATAGGGTTTGAGGGTTTAGGGTTTTGGGGTGTAGGATTTAGGGTTTAGGGTTTAGGGTTTTAGGGTCTAGGGTTTAAGGTTTAGGATTTAGGGCCTGGCGTTGTTGATTCGGCTTTCAGAACCCCTTCAAGTTGAGAACCCAAAAAACCTTCGACTCCTACTCCCGAGTTGCCTCGAACCTCTGGGTGGTACTTGGAGGTTCATGGGTAGCTATACGTGGGGTTATGGGTTCCATTGAGGGTTCCTTCAAAGGGTTCTATAGGGTTTAGGGTTAAGGGGTAGTTGTAAGTGGGGTTATAAGTCCCCTGATATGGGTTAGAAGTAGAGTTACCCAACTTATAACCCAATCATAACGACCCATGAACCCACAAATAATCCCCAAACCCTAAACCCAAAACCCTTCAACCCTAAACCCCCAATAGAACGACACATGAACCCCCAAGTAGGACCCACACCTAAGGCCCCCAAAGCCCTGAAACCCAAATGTGCGGGGTCCCGCTTTCAAGGGCATCTGCTGCCGGCTAGGCGCCTGGAAACGCCGAAGCCGAAAAAAAGGAACCGACGATTGCATTTTAGAAAGCTCTTTAGTGGGGTCCTGAAGGAGATGCCTGGTGGTTCTAGAGCGTGGCGGCACCTGCGGTTGATGCTATAAACCCTGCATTACCGATAACGAGGAATATACCATAATTCCCTTAGTTTAGGGTCCTTAAAGTAATGCATAATTACCTATATTATTTTGATAATTATAGTATAATGGACCCCAAAACCTTATTCTAATTATAAAGGCCCCCTATATTTCCCTCTTTTGATGGAGTCTGCTACATCAGCACGGGAACAGCGATCTTGAAGAGTCCAAAAAAGGACAGGGAGCCTTGGGCTTGAGGACTTCAGGGTTCAGGGTTTAAAGTCTTAAGGGGTTTAGGGTTTTAGGATTTAGGGTTTCAGGGTTTGGGGTTCGGGGTTTTAGGGTTTAGGGTTTTAGGGTTTCAGGGTTCAGGGTTTAGGGTTTTAACGTTTAGGGTTTCAGGGGTTAGGGTTTTAGGGTTTAGGGTTTAGGGGTTTGGGGTTTAGGGTTCATGGGTAGTTAGACTTGGGGTTATAAGTAACTATACTTATAACCCACATTAGGGGGCTTATAACCGCACTTATATCTAGCCCTAAACTCTGAACCCTAAACCCTATAGAACCCTTTAAAGGAACCCTTAAAGGAACCCCCATAGCCCCACGGTAGAACTACCCATGAACCTGCGAGGAAAAGCCCGAAGCCTTACACCTCTCGGGGAAGACACCACTCCCAAGGGGCACCGGCACAAGTCATCTGTGGGAGCCACCTCGTTCCAGTATCAAGGCCGGGGGTGTAAGGCTTAGGGTTTAGGGTTGAGGGTTTTAAGGCTTAGGGCTTCAAGGTTTCAGGGTTTAGGGTTTTAGGGTTTAGGGTTTAGAGTTTAGGGCTTTAGGGCTTAGAGTTTAGAGTTTAGGCTTTAGGGCTTGGGGTTTAGGGTGTAGGGCTTAGGGTTTAGCGCTTAGGGCCTGGAGTTTAAAGTTTTAGGGCTAGGGTTTAGAGTTTAGGGTTTAGAGTTTAATGTTTAGGGCTTAGGGCTTAGAGTTCAGAGATTGGGTCGTGGGGTGTGGCAGCCCCCCACCGGCCACGCGAAATGGAAAGTGCGGAACCCCAAAATGATCCTAAATAAAAATCCTCGTAATCAGGTTCAACGGTTCCCTGTGGAGGGACCCCGAAGTAGACGGACCCCTCAATTTCTGAAACGTCCGAAAAATAAGAATTACGCAGCTGGGGGCAAGCCACTAATTTAACGATTGACAATACTGCACCGCAACCGGTGAACCTGCCGAACTTCGGACGTGCTTAAGCTCAAGGCCTGGGCACAGGCTCAAACCCCAAACTTTTCAGATCTTTCATCCACCAAATCCGCAAAACGCAGCACCTGACCCTTAAAATCCCAAAAGCCCCCGGAAGCCATCTAACCACTCAGCCTCCAAAGCACACCAGAGCAGAACTCTCAAAAACCAGAGCAATCAGGACAAATCCTGCAATAAAGATGAGCTGCGCAGACTCAATGCCCTAAACCCTCCAAACTCAAACTGCACTAAAGGTCTCTATGCGTCTATGACGACAAGGACCCCATGAATATTCCTGCACCACCGAGCCCTTGGGTTCCGACGCACGGGTGCAACCTATCGCAGCCGATGGGCCTGAAGAAATGAGCAAGTTGTTCAGGGTTTCAGGGCTTCAGGGTTTGAGGTTTAGGGTTTAGGGTTTCAGGGTTTAGGGTTCAGGTTTCAGGGCTTCAGGGTTTGAGGTTTCGGGGTTTGAGGGTTTGAGGTTTAGGGCTTCAGGGTTTGAGGGTTTCGGGGTTTCAGGGTTTGGGGTTTAGGGTTTAGGAACCCTAAACCTACCTAAACCGGGTTTGGGATTTCGGGTTAAAGGTTTAGGGTTTCGGGTTTAGGGTTTAGGGTTTACGATTTAGGTATAGTTCTGCGACCCCGTAAGACTCTCTAAATCGGACGAGAAAGAAGGGGTTTCTAATTATCAGCCCCCTGTATTACACCCTGACGGACCCAAGCCCTAACCCCGACAAACCCTATAATTGCCCAACAAGCCCTGCAGCCCTAAGCACTACTTGGGAGTTCATGTGCAGCTATGAATGGGGTTATATAAGTAGGGTACCTACACGTATAACCCATCTTAGGGGACTTATAACCCCACTTACAACCACCCACGAACCTCCAACTAAGTACCCCAAACTCCAGAAACTTCAGAACCCACCCTAAGCCCTAAACCCTAAACCCTAAACCCTTGGTGACCTTTTCTTCTTAGAAGCAGGATCTCAAGCTGGCTGTGTGCGTCATCGGCTTCGGGTGCTGTGCTTAGGAAGTTCAAGGGCAAGATAGAGGCCTTCATAATTCGACTAGGGCGGTTTAGGGTTTAGGGTTTAGGGTTTAGGGTTTAGGGTTTAGGGTTTAGGGTTTAGGGTTTAGGGGGGTATAGTCTCCCCTCCTCTATGAAGTTCGGGGGCCGGGGGCTTGAGGCTTCAAGGGGATTTAGGCCAGGGGTTGGGCTGAAGGTTCACGGCTGCGTGAGCAGTTCTGCGATAGGCACCCTACTTGGAGGTTCATGGGTAGTTATAACTGGGCTTATAAGTGGGGTCACTATACTTATAACCCATAATAGGGGACTTATAACCCCACTCATAACTACCCATGAACCTTCAAGTACCACCCAACAAGAACCACACAAACGGCAACATGATCCAACTTTTTCCGTCATATCCCGAACAGAAGCCCACAAAAACACTTCAAAGCCTATGCATCCTTACTAACCCTAAACCCTAAACCCTAAACCCTAAACCCAAAGCCCTGCAGAGTCCTCTAAATCCTCGAATAGCCCTCACAAGCACAACAAGCAGCCCTGCGGTTGATGATAGAAATCTGACTTACCCAGAATAAGGCATACACCAGAATTCCCAAATTTTAGGGTCCTTAAGGTAATGCATAATTACCTATACTATTTTGGCGGGGGTCCTTATTACTCCCGTGGTTTAGGGTTTAGGGTTTAGGGTACCATAATTCCCATAGTTCAGGGTCCTTAAGGTAATGCAGGATTTACATCATCAACAGTATCAGGTTCACATGCCTCCACTCGGCGACGCAGTCGTCGTTCACCACGCAGACGGCCGACGGGTTTCCGTAGTGCGTGTCCGCGCAGCTCCTGAGATTTCTCAACTGTTTGCAATGGCCGTATTCGGGCTTAGGGTTTAGGCTTCAGAGTTTAGGGTTTAGGGTTTAGGATTTAGGGTTTAGGGTTTAGGGTTTAGGATTTAGGATTTCGGGTTCAGGGTTTAGGGTCATTCACATCTGTCTTGTTCAAGGCCGGTAGATGACTGCTCCGATGACCGCTACTGCATGAATGAATCTTGGGTACTGCCCCCATACAGTAACAGTCTATAATAGGGCTACTATTAAGGGCCTAATATATCCATAATAAAAATATTACCCAACTGTTACTGAGTGGGGGCAGTACCCAAAATGAATCCCTTTTGGAGCAACCCGCCCAGTTGTCGCCGAGGTGCCAAGTTCCATCCGGGGCGAGCCGGTAGCCTCCCACATCCAATCAGGCGACGCAAGGCTGAAACTGATAAGATTTAGGGTTTAGGGTTTAGGGTTTAGGGATTAGGGTTTAGGGATTAAGACAATCTTCAGAATCATCGCCGGCATCACCATAACCGCTACCACTACCACTATCACCACCGCCGCAACGACAAGTAGTATCGAGTAAAGGGGTAGAGATAATGATAATGATAACAATAGTAGAAATACTGCTATAGTCATAATCATAACAGTCATTACGGGCAGAATACAAAGAATAACAATGTTAATCGATGATGGTGAAGAAGAAAGAAGAACGACAATAACAACAGCAAAACTAGCAAAAATATGGGTACTGTTGCAGTGTTGCTGCCGCTACGACTACGACGGCCACGACTGCGACTACGACACGTGTTCCTCTTATACGCAAGCATTTATATGCAAGCATGACTAAACCCCAGAGTCTACATCCTGAACCCTAAACCCTAAACCCTAAACCCTAAACCCTAAACCCTGAACCCTGAACCCTAAACCCAAAATCTTACACCCCTTGACAGTAAACCTTTAACCCCCGACCCAAAGCTCATAAGCCCCTGTTGTAAGACTACACCCCAAAATACCTCTCCCTACAGTACCTAAACCCTAAACCCTAAACCCTAAATAAACCCTAAACCCTAAATAAACCCTAAACCCTAAATAAACCCTAAACCCTAAATAAACCCTAAACCCTAAATAAACCCTAAACCCAGAATCTTTGACCCTCTAAAGGCCTTGGTCCGGGACGGCAAAGTCCTTAGCCCCTGCCCTGAACCCAAGATCCTCAAAAGCCAAACCCCAAGTCCTTAGCCCTGCACCACCAATCCTGCGAACGGGTGTAGGATTTAGGGGTTTAGGGTTTAGGGTTTAGGGTTTGGGGTTTAGGGTTTAGGGTTTAGGGTTTAGGGTTTAGGCCTAGTATAGGGGCCTTAATAATTCGAATAGGGTTTCGGGGTATGGTATACTATAGTTATAACAAGGAACCCCCAAAATAGTATAGGTGATTATTCAGGCCCCTATATTATATCCTTATTCACCAAACTCTGGATTCTTAACCCCTCAAAGAAATCCTGTACAGACCTTGCAGTCCTTGAAAAGCCCCTATGTTTAACTAATATAGAACTTCTTGAACTGTTCAAGAAAGCAGGGAAGGCTTGAATGCCTTGTGGAGCGCTGGTACAAACAGCAGAACCCTTGTAACATCGAACCTTGATGAAAACCTTTCTGGATAGAACGAATATGGAATCCTGACTCCTAAACCCATGAAAAAAACCCTCATTATACCCTAAGCCCCCAACCTCATCCCTAAACCCCAACTCTAAATCGCATGAAAAAAACGCTATAGAACCTAACCTTTCAGTACCCTAAACCCTAAACCCTAAACGCTAAACCCTAAACCCTAATTTGAAGGCGGTGTGAGGGCCTTCCGGCACCGGCGTGCGCGCATCGCAGTCTGCAGCCCCCAAGCCCCACAGAGGGGTGCTTAGGGTTGGTTCAAGGGCTTAGGGTTTAGGGTTCAGGGTGTGGGCTTTAGGGTTTAGGGTGTAGGCTTTAGGGTTTAGGGTTTAGGGTTTAGCGCTCAGGCTTCAAGGGCTTAGGACCTGGAATTTGGGGTATTAGGGTGGTGGAATGTTTTGAATTATGGATTTTTTGATGTTCGGAGTTTGGCGAACGCTTGAGTTTTCCTGTTAAGATTTCGGGCTCGTGTCTCAGATGTCGGGTTTCCACGTTGAGGACTTGGGGTTTCTGGGTTCAGCATCACGGGTCGAAGGCTCTTTCTGAAGCCATGGATTCAAAGTTTAGGGTTTAGGGTTTAGGGTTTAGGGTTAGGGCTCAGACACTCGGGTCCTAGTCGAGGTTTGGGGCAAGGCTTTTGTTGAAACTGCTGGGCTTCTGGTGAATGTAGGGCCCTTAAGATTAGCATAGGTGTTTGGCGTATAACTTGTTATAGTCTGATATGATTGAATATACATATATTTTTATGTATGTATATAGTTATATAGAGAGAGAGAACTATATGTGTATATATATATATGGTATACTGCGACTTTTTTTGAGACATCTAGATTCCGGATTGGGTCAACCTGGAGAAACCCGCAAAATCTAGCATCGGAAGCCCGCGCCCAAAGCCTAGACTTTCTGAACCCAGAGCTCTGGATCCGACTGAACTTAACTGGAAAAGCACATAAACTGCCGGTTTAGGGTTTAAGGTTTAGGGTTTAGGCTTAGGGTTTAGGGTTTAGGGTTTCAGGAGCCCCCGAACTCCAAACAGAACCTTCATGGACGTGGAGAGAAAATTTGGGATCCCGGGAAGAACCCCCAAAGAATGCTTATAAACAAAAACTTGGACCGTGTCTATTTACAAGAGCCCAGCAGAACAGACTCAAAGAACCCCTACAGAGAGGCAAAAAAAGCATAGAAACCTATAAGCACCAAAAAAACGCAACCTGTTGACCCGAAACGCTAAAGAACTAAGAACCCTAAAAGCCCCAAGCCCAAAACCCTAAAGCCCCAAAAACCCTTCAAAGACAAAAAGCCCAAAACCCTCACAAACCCTGAAATGGAACCTCACAGAACCCCTAGAGAACCCGAGGCAGCGGCTCGGCAAACAAACTGGCATGGACCAGTTCAGAGGCTCGAAAGGATCCGTGTTGCCATCCTAAGTCATGTAGGGGCCGCAATAATTAGAATACGACTTCGGGGTAAACTCTACTCGAACTAGAACAAGAAACCCCCAAAAATAGCGTAGGTAATTACAAAGGCCCCTACGGGCACTCGTCGGGTCAGGGTTGAGGGTTTAAAGGTTCAGGGTTTAGGGCTTCGGGCTTAGGTTTCAGGGCTTAGGGCTTACTGGCGTTGAGGGCTTATTAGGTTTGAGGACTGCATGGTGCTCCCTGAGTTGAAAAGTTTAAGAGGGAAACACATAAACCGTCATTCAAACTGGACATGGCCCAAGCAAAACACTGCACTCGGAACATTCACCCAAGAGTGTATGTGTATATATATATATATATATATACATCCCTCTCTCTATATGTATATCTATATCTATATCTATATCTATATATATATATATGTATATTGAACCATAGTGCTAGAACCGAAGCCAGCTTTCGAAACTCAGACCAAACCATGTCGGCCAAAAACTCTTCGAGGCCCCAAAACCCTCAGCCCAAAGCCCTTCACCTGAGACCCCAAACCCAAAACAAGAAGGGCCCTCAACCCTAAAAGGGAAGGGGTTTAGGGTTTAGGGTTTAGGGTTTAGGGTTTAGGGTTTAGGGTTTAGGGTTTAGGGTTAAATCCCAAAGCCCTAAACCCCTAAGCCTAAACCCTCAACCCTAAACCCCAAAACCCCTAAGCCTAAACCCTCAACCCTACACCCCCAAACCCTAAGCCACAAACCCTAAACCCTAAACATGAACTCCGAAGCCTAAACCCTCAACACTAAATCCCAAACACCCTAAGCCTAAACACTAAACCCTAAACCCCAAAACCCTAAACCACAAACCCTAAACCCTAAACATCCCTAAACCCTAAACCCCCAAAAAGGCCCGAGTTTGGCCCAGGCCGGGCGCCAGGCCGGGCAAAAGGCGGTGGTCGCCTCCCCGACCTTGGGATTGGAAAGGCTGGGAGTTGGGATTTTGGGGATTTTGGCGTTTAGGGCTTAGGGGGTTTCGGGTTTGGGGCTTAGGGCTCTGTGATTTTGGGGATTTTGAGTTTTGGGGTTTGGGGTTTCGGGCTTTGGGGGGTTAGAGGGCTTAGTGGCGTTTAGGGCTTAGGGGGTTTGGGGTTTGGGGTTTAGGGTTCTGTGATTTTGAGGATTTGGGATTTTGGGGTTTGGGGTTTCGGGCTTTGGGGGTTTAGAGGGTTTAGGGGGTTTTCGGGTTAAGGGTCCACGGTTTAGGGGGTTTAGGGTTTAGGGTTTTGGGGGTTTGGGGTCTTGGGTTTAAGGTTTTGGGGGTTAGGGTTTAGGGTCATGTTCACTTCCGGCTTGCGGATGAGGGTGTGAGATTTGGGCCTCAGGGGTAGACTGAGTTTTTGATCGTCTTACAGGTTTGTATACAGACCCTAGGCACGATGTGCACTGCATATGGATGGCATCAGGCCTAGCCACAGTTGCAGTGCTTGCAAGCCCTTAACATCGAGAATCTACGTGGCATAGAAAGGTCTCTGTCTTGGCTTTGTTCAGCTTCGTGGCTGCTCCAAGAGCAATCGAACAAGACCCCAGACCTTTGCAAACTCGCGGTATGCTTCGCCGCAGCATAGGCTCTGTAGCACTAGGGCCTAGAAACTACGCAAAAACCTCAATGCCCTATGGCGGGGGACGTTACGGGATTGTTGTTGGCCTAGGGTGGTGGAGGGGCGTGTGCCGCGCCCTAAACCCCAAATCGAAACCCCTATGCGCAGCCTAATTCTGAAGTCCTGCTGGCTGCCAGCGATAGGAATTCAGGGCTCGCCTTGCTACTTGCATTCCAAGCGGCATAAGGCGGAGAATTACAACCCAAGTCGCAGGTCGTGCCGCCCATGACCTTCCGAGGTGTTGGAGTCGGGGATTTAGTGTTTAGGGTTTAGGGTTCAGGGTTTAGGGTTTAGGGTTTAGGGTTAGCATGTTTACTTTTGTTAGGAATTGTTTGCTTCTGCAGGTGCGTCCGGCAAATTTTGGTGGAGTAAGCAAGTGGGGCTCGGAAGCTTATGGTTAAATCTTTAGGGTTCAGGGTCCGTGTCTATAGGGGCACCGCAGAGTAGGCAAGATTTTGCAGGATGCTACAATCTCAGGACTTTAGGAGGGACCCCTAAAAGGGACCCTTAATCCCATTAC